ATTATGGCCACTTATATGGAATTTTATGTTTTTAAATAATATACACAAAACGTTTTTTTAACTGTCAAAATGGTTTTTTATCTATTGTGTTTTTATTTTATGACTAATAATTAGAACACATATAAAAATGTTTATTAAGCTTATGACTCTTATAACTTTGATATTATTAGAAATGATCTCATTATAATAGACAATAAAAAGAGAGATTAAGATACAAAGATATTTTATTGAATAGGTCATAAAAACATGATTTTAACATGATTTTAAAATGCATATGGCACGTGATGAAATTTAATGAATAATATAAAAATTCCAATATGGATAAGGATGGAAAAGTTTACTTGAAAGTACCTTTTAGATTTTGATCGGAGAGATGAATGTATTTATTTTACAATGATAATATGTGTTTTTTTTTTTTTGTGTGTCAGTGTTCACGATAAGTAGTCGAAATTCTGCTTCGATTTTCAACATCAGTATCTTTTCTGATGGGAAAGTGGATCTAGTAAGTGCATTAGGGAGGTCAACATTTAAAATTAACGTTAGGTAGTCTTAAAAAGCACCGTGAATCACAAAATTAGCAAATTATTAGTTCATAATTATTTAGTTCATAGAAATTAATAAATATTAAGAATACATGTACGCAATTTGTATAAGTATATTATGTTCAAAATTCGAAGAAATTATCAAATTTAAAATTCACAAATTATTTTGCTGTTAAAAATTTATGAAATTATAAATTTTTCTAGCTAAGAATTAAAAATGTAAAACAATATTTCACGTAACTTTAACCAAATAATCTAAAAAAGCGAGTAAGTGGATGTCGCTCTTCTGTACAGTAGTTTACAAGTGGGTCATTGTATAATGGATTGTATTAAATAATAAATGCACATATGTGTCGACATTTTATCATTTAGGCTTTGGATAATCATAATCCATTGAAGGAAAAACATATATTACAACATAATAAAACAAATAATAATCACTAATTATTGATTGCTAGTTATTTATGGTGCAAAATATGGGCTTTTAAAATAGTAAATACTGTAACGGGCTGTGACTACGTACATATTATAATAGTAATAATATATAAAATATTATATTATATTATGCTGTATTAAGTATAATACGCTTATAATATAATATATTATATTCAATAACAGATATAAATGCTGCAGAGGGCACGCAACCCGATAATAGTAATAATATAAGCGTCCGGGCAGCCACATCGATAAGAGTACAGAACTAATTAATAGTACAGCGCAATAGGTATACGCGCGCATTATCCATGTTCTAGGAAAGACGAAAAAGCCGTAAATAACAAAAATAGATAACTTTGAAAACATATAATCCCAATTAACATTATTTCGTAGAGGACGCCGAAATGACGTCAGGTATACGCAGCTATGTACCATTTTTTATACTAAAAATGCCATAGGAGGGATCTAATAGGAAAACCGACGAAATACGTCGATGGACAAGTGTCCATCAGACGAACACCAGCCAAGACGACGAGCACTATAGCAGGACAGCCACAAAGTCGATACAAAGTCACAACCCGTTTACCACTATTTTATAATTTAATTATTTGGACTTTACGAATATTTTCGTGTTAAATAAATACAAATAAACTATCATTATACCATCAACTTGTCATTTTAATTCAAAATACCATCAATATTGAGTTGAAGTAGTTGGAGTACGTTACAATACCTATGTAGTTACTTAAATTGCGAAATTAATACAAATATCTGGTTTTGTAAAGCCTTTTATTAACAAATGCCAAATAGATGAAAGCAACTAGTATACTAGGTATCATTAATCGTACTTATTATCTTTTAAATAAAATTATTAACTAAAAAATAGAAAACCATTTACGAGCCCACCTCTCAACTGAATTTGGAATTTCTCACCGTCATTCGATTGTACGCCATTTGTATGAATTTGTATGACAGCTTTCAACTCTTACTTTTGAAATCTACTCTTGTTGGGGTGGTTATACATCACGCCCCTTAATGGAATTTGTTACCACTACACATTACCTCTTAATTAAATTTGGTGGTTACCGGCTGTTGTTAATAACTTCTCAAAATTAAAACTTACAAACCGAGAAGCGGTTACTAGACCCAAAACTGGTTATGGTAACCGGTTTGGGTTAAAAACTTGTTACCGACATCAATATGTAGTTCGATTACTCATCCACGCTACACCTGCAGCGATTTATAACACAAATTGAGATTTTTTAACTCGTTCGCTGCTTACAACCCCAATTGGCGTCAGTAGTGTCACTCTCCATGTACGGTCTACGCCAATTGGAGTCATCTGATATACCGATTTTAATGTTCTTATATTCCGGTCAGCGTTAGAACCTGTGCGCAATTTTTTTGTCAGCGTTATCTACAAACATTTTTAAACATGATTTTGAAAACCGTTTCTAAAAATAACCATTTGTTAGGTATTTACGTACTATTCAATAATATTTCCTATTAAATACTTTTATCATGTTGTTCAGGGCTTCAGGCACACCCAGCTGATGACGATCCATAATCGTCATAGCACAATTATGTTTGTATGTTATAGAAATATAGACATATTATTTTTAGTATCGATCGTGATATCGATTGTTTGCATATCAGTAAATTCATATTTAGTTTATTTCTGTTTGGTTATCCAGCTAATATGGACGTGTACCAATAAAGTGAGTAGTTTTATCTTTATTATTATACGAAAGCTAGGTAACTACGTTTGTATATAAATCGATTTGAGGTATATAAATTTCATTTTTCATTGTGTTTTTTTATGCTGTTATTTTACTGAAATAAATATGAATAATTCTGATAATGCTGGTTCGTCTTGACCCAAAAGACTTTGTACAAATATTGATCTCCGTTCTACTCAAAATGAAATTGAAAGACTTCTTTTTGAATCTGATGACGAAAATGCTGATTATTCTAATTCTGGCAGTGATTATTTGGGTGCAAGTGATTCCGATTCTTCATCGACTTCGGATATCGGAAATTAAATGTCTACTCAACCAAATTTCGAATTTCCCAATACAATAACAACTAATAACACTTTTAAAACAAACGAAATTGATCTTTTTAATTTTACGTTTGATAAACAACCAGGATTACTCATTCTAATACCCGAAAATGGAAAACATAGATTTTTTTTCATGCTATTTGATGAGGATTTTTTGAACTTATAGTTAGAGAAATAAATAACTTTGCCGATACTGAATTTTTAAGAGCTGGTGCTGCAGAGCGTTCTCGTATATCTCTATGGAAACCTACGGACCGCGATGAAATTATAACTTTTATTTGTTTAGTTATTCACACTGGCACAATCAGACTAAATCGATTAAACGATTACTGGAAAAAACATAATTTATTTAATTTTATATGTTTTTCGAATTATATGATTCGCGATCGCTTTCTATTACTTTTAGATGTTTTCATTTCGCCCCGAATCCTACTGACCATTCTGAAAATAGGTACTCATATTGATAGACTTTTAAAAATTCGCCCTCTTATAAATTATTTCAATACCAAAATGAATGATATTTATTACCAAATAAAGAGCTTTCACTCTATGAATCAATGGTATTGTGGATAGGTCGCCTTATTTTTCGACACTGTATGCAAAATAAACGCCATAAATATGGTGTTAAATTGCACATGCTTACCGAACCAAATGGACTTATTATAAAATTTGCTCTATATACTGGTGTTTTAGATGACCTAGGAGATAAAGGTCACGCTGCAAACGTAGTACTACATCTTATGTCCGAAAAATTGAATAATGGTCATTCAATTTACATGGACAATTTTTATAATAGCATCGATTTAGCTGAACAATTATTACCTACAAAAAAAGATATACTGTACGGGAACATTAAGATCTAACCGAAAACGTATACCTGAGGCCGTAGTAAAATCAAAATTAAATCCTGGGGGAAACAAATGTAATGTACTCTAATGGCGTATTAGTTGGTAAATGGAAGGACAAACGGGATGTTTTGTATATTTCTACCGAATTCAAAAATAATTTGATACTTGCAAAAAATAAAAAGGATCGGGAAGAACTAAAACCAGAACCTATTGCAAATTATAATAAATTTATGGGTGGTATTGATCGACAGGACCAAATGGTCCAAATGAACAGTTATTATCCATTTTTGAGAAAAACCATTCGTTGGTACGAGAAGATAGGAATGCATGTGATCCAAATGCTATTATTAAATTCTTACAATTTGTACAGTCAATCACAAGTCGGATCTAAGTTGCCACTCTATGATTTTCGTTTGTATATTCTTAGTGGACTTTTACCGGCATATCCAAAACCAAGACTAGATAAAAAGGCTAGAAAAAAACACATTCCAAAAACACACAAGATAGGAAAAAATGGAAAAACACCTCGTAAAAGATGTTGTGTTAGCGCAGAAAAGAAAATACGGAAAGATACTTCATATTTCTGTCCAATTTGTCCAAATCATCCAAGTATTTGTCTAGAACCATGTTTTGTAAAATGTCATCATAATAAATACGTTTTTTTTGTTTATTTAAAAATAATAAGATAAGTTTTTTTTGTTTGTTTAAACTTAATAATAGTATAACAGTCTATATTTAGTCTGAATTGTTTGTTTATTTGATTATTTGTACATAAAAAAAAATAATTAAAGCCAATTGGCGTCATTGCAAATTCTATTTTAAGGATTACTTACGCAACGCGGTAGGTGCTACTAAAATATGATAAGCAGCGAACATGAATCCTTTTAATGTTTTGAATGTATCAGGTTAAAAAATAAAACAATACAATTAAGTATATAGTATTGATTAAGTATTAAATATAAAACAATACAATTCAGTTTATGACACATATTGTAAATATTGTATGACTTATCTATAAAATATAAACTATATAATGCCTTTTATTAGTAGTCAACTTGCACTAGTATTTTAGAATATATCTTGTGGTTTAGATTCGTATTCATTCATCACAAAATGTCATTCTTTATATTTCTGTGTTGTATTATCTGGCGTCAAAGCTGGAAATAAAGAAATAGTTGAACTCAACCATGAAGAAATATCTAGCATTGAGTCCAACAAGATTTTTACTAACGTCTTTAACTTTCTGCAGAACTTGGAAAATGAAGTTATAGAGGACTACATGGAAAGTAAATATACTCATTTTCAAAAAAAAAAATTGTATGTTTATAGCTTGAATGTTTCTTTTATTCATATTATTTTAATTTCAACAAGGTACTTCAAATAAACTTAAAAAATACGACTTTTTAAGCAAGAAAAATAAAACAAACTTAGAATGGTGGCAAACAGGCATTATTTATGAAATATACCCTCGATCTTTTATGGATTCAACTGGCAATGGCATTGGAGACTTACGAGGTAATACAAGATTTATAACAATTGCTGTTCCTTAAGTTCACCATACAAATATATTTTTTTGTAAAAATAATTTATTATTAATACATTTTACCATTTTATACAACAGATATTTAATAAAAAAAAAGCTCATTAAACTGAATAATAAACTTATTTATTTGTCATATTATTACATATTTATGTCTATAAAATGTATACAATAATCTATATACTACAGCATAATATCTTAATGACCGTTTACGTGAAAAATTTCATGAATAAATTGAAAAAAATAAAATGGCTTTGGAGATTTACGGGGTTTTACAAGATTTATAAAAATGTTCTGTTTATTAATATTATTAGTTAATTAATATTTCCCCAAAATCCTTTTAATTATTAAAATGATTTATTATCATTACCAGCTTATAAAACATGGTTACTCGTAATTATAATATTAACACATGCATGTTTCTATTCACTTTGGTCTACAACACTTAACGTTGTTCGCCATAATATCTTAATGGCAATTTAATTATTATTTCAGGTATAATTAAATAGATTTATAACAATTTTCTGTTTCTTAAGTTCACCATACTAACTCATATTATCATTATATGAATTTTATTACTAATTTATTATTAATCAAATTCTATTTTATAAAACAAATGCATTCATCATATTGTAATGGTTAGGATTTTGTTGTTCCTATTCCTATTACAAAATTACTATAAATCATAACACATATGTTTTAAGGTAATCATGTTAATCTTTATTTTGCATTTACTTTAAATATGAATATTTAATATAATATAATATATTGATCATGAATATAAACATAGATTTGATACAGATTTACGAATACTTGCACGGGAAGTATCGTAATATTTAAGTACAATATAAACTCGCGGATTCCGAATACAATATATTACTTTTCCCATTCACAATTGATATCAATTCAAGTACCCAAGGTGTGGTAGTCGGTAGACTACTATTAGTCTTATTAATAATGTTTTTACTAACGATGTTGACAGTATGAGTTTGGTTATCTGTGGAAATGGATCTTCCAGCAGCAATTATATCTCACAACTCGGTATATGACTGTGATATCGATGAACGCCTCGCGAGAATCCTCTTAACAATTTTATATGAAATTTTATTTTATATACCACGGAAGTAGGTAGTTGGCGGCGGCTTAATCACGTTTCGTATCGCGGCGACAATTGTACTCACTGTGTCCGTGGCGGCAACGTTCAACTGTGGCCCAGGGCGACGATATTCGACAAAACGGTATGACAACGGCATCACCTTTTTATGGTGTATACGGTGTCGACGGAGTAACGAGTTGCGGCGGTATTATAACACTTTAACCTTCCCCTGATCGGGTGGCCGAAAGTATTTTGACAAATAAAATATTATGCTACTATGACTCGCGGTGGCTGTATTATAATACTCTAACCCGGCCGGGTGTCTGAAAGTATTACAATATTAATTATATTACTCGGCGGCGGCATGATAGTAGTACCATAGCTTTCCCTACTGCGGGTGGCCGAAAGCCCTATACACGAATGATACGCTGCAGCGGCGGTATGCGTCGGAGTGTTCTAACCTTCCCGACGTACGGGCGGCCGAGAATAATACTATACACGGCGGCGATATAAAACGGCGACGTTGACACTAGTTTTCATAGGTCTAGGGTAAGGGTCACCAACTGACGGACCGCGGTCCGGATACGGACCGCAAGACTAGACTCTAGGAAAAATGCTTTAGCTTTTATAGCCTTCCCAAAGATGGCCGAGAATCGCTACTCACACTAGCCAGTTACAGATTACGACTAGAGTCGGAAAGCGGACTGTGGAACTTTGATGGGGCTACCGATCCCCCTTATATGCTGTGGCTCGGTCCCTGGTGTAGAGTGGTCGGTGTTTTCCTATCGTAACTATGGTTTGTGCATTGGTGCGGAATCTGTTATTATGGGCCAACACGCTCTAGGGACCGCAAAGAGCGGTTCGCTTTGGCGGTGCTGATGTCGCCTGGTGGCGCGTCGTAAGCGGTTTATATTATATGAGACATTCCGTGTTCGTTACAATATTTATACATACATTTCTGTACCCACATATACTATGGTCTTCAGTATATATTAATGGCTATTTAATTAAAATTAAAATTGTTTTTAGGAATAATTGAAAAAATTCCCTATCTTAAGTATTTGGGAATATGTGCTGTTTGGTTAACTCCAATATACCCTTCACCGGGACGTGATATGGGTTATGATATAACGAATTACAGAGGAATTGATGACCTTATGGGTACCATGGAAGATTTTGATGAGTTAATGAATAAACTTCACGAAAATGGTTTGTATAATTTTTAAAGATTTAGGTAAGTTACATTATAAGTACCCATACAAGTTGTGTAGGTAGTAGGTATATTATAGATTCTGATCGGAGACAATGAAGCGAAACCAGTTTTCATGATAAAATGTTGTATTTTTGTCGTAACTCAAAAACTAATAACCATATTAAAACTCTTTGAGGCATGGGATTATAATAAATGAAAAAAACACACAAACAAATGTATTTCACAATTAAAATTTTTTTTTTTTATATAATAAAATAAGTGGGTTAAAAAATGTCCCGCTGTGCTGCATCAATAATATTTTTGGTGTATTCCTTTTGTGCTGAAATAAATCAAAAAAATATATCAAAATTCAAAAATCTTTAACTACCTAATGTAACTCCTATAGTTTGTCTTTCCATTTGACAATTGAAATGTAATATTGGTCACTCATGTTCCAGTCGATGTCACCTATAATCATGTTTTTATCTAACTCTAATTTTTTCAAGTATTTTCTAGTATTATTAACAGTTCCATAGCAAAAAAATACTTTTTGATTTCATATATGCCAAAAGTAGTATACTTGTGAAAAAATTATCAATTTACAAATTATAATTTTTATGCTGTAATGGATTTATTAGATCTTTGACGACTAGTCCTCTAAGATTTGTTTCAACAGAGTCACCTCTTTTACGAGTGTATAAATCAAAATTCTGTATATATGACTGTAAGATTTACAGTCATAAGAGAACTTATATAATCATCATGTAAGTCCAAAGATGTAGATCAGTAAACTCTATTGCTTGGGTCACATTTTATACACATTAAAATAGTTATACCAAAAAAAGTCATTATTTCATTTGTATCTGTAGGAATATAATTTTTTCCAGTTGCCATTTTTTTTGGTCTGCGTATACATTTGTTTGCTAAACTATTAAGTCTAGTATAATATCATTTAAAAATAATAAGTTAAAAGTTGAAAATGGAGTGTGTTCAGCTTCAATATCAATCAAACTAGTTGGGGCGTCGGCGCACGTAAATTCAGGGAGAGGTTTTTGTGAAAAATCATTATTTTTTTTACCAAGCAATCAATGGGTTTTCGGGAGGGTTATTTTCAACGATATTGTTTTATAATTCAGTAGTTTCTGTTGATTGATAATATGATTTCTGATTTATTGGCGGAAATAAGGAGCGAAGAATATTACTATTAGTATGGTCATTTTTTTAATGGGTTTGCCTTTGCGAATGACGTGTTTTTTTGGATTAGGTAATAGTAAAATGTTACCTTGATCTAGATTTAAAATCTCTACCAGTTCATCGTCATTTTAATGTAGGGTATCATCAGATAAATGGTTGACTTCCATTAATTCAACATCTTTATTAGGTAAAAAAGTATTACAACGGCTTCAGAATTATTATCGTAAGAAGTAAAAGTGTCACTATCGGATGGTATATCTTCGAACAAACTATCACTTGACAGTATTTTTATTATTCATACGCGCGCTCATTGTATGGAATGATACATACAGGGGTATATACAGGGTAAATTGTACGGCACAGTGTGGAGGGGTAAAATTTAAAAACTGACATATTATGTTGTCATGGCTAGAATTATAACAAAAATAAAATAAAATTATTGTGAAGTCCGTAAATTCATTTCCTCGCGATACGAAGGTCGTCGAATAACTAAATTGGTAATTTCATAGGTTTTATTAAACATAATCGATTAATTCTTGAAGCTATGGATAAACAAGAATGTAAGATGTTTAATTATAGAGACACATAAACACAGTTTATGAAAAGAAATAAAATATCTATATTTATGCAACTATGCTTCAACGAGAAAAATACCTAGAATTTTTAACAAATGTTTATTTGGCGATTTTCCATACATTATAACATTTTTGGTATATTTTGACTCTCTTTGATTTTTCTATATCCAAGTGAAATTTTAAATTTGTTTAATTTTTTTTGATAGCTGTAAAATAATTGTTCGATTAAAAATTAAAAAACTTGACAAACTCGATCAAAAACCTTGAAATTTGAATAGACGATTCATCATAAGTTGTAACACTAGCAGTTGAAACTTTTTTTTTATGATGATTTAAATTTCTACTCAGCTCATCCACTAACATTTGTAAATTAAAAATATAATCCGAGAATAACGATTTTAATTATTTTGTTGTAATTTAAAAATAGTATTCGTGTTTAAAATATACCAGTATGTTTCATGCTCACAATGAAATTGTTCATTGTAATGTTTTTGGTAAATATTAATTCAACTTTCTGTATCACTAATAACTAATAAGTAATAATAAATTAATTATTAAATAAATTACCTACATTAATACCAATAATATCATAAAATATTATACTTCTTAATATTACATGCTAACATACCGTTTTAGCTCAGGATCATTTTTTAGAATACAATGATTTTATATAAACATTAGGTTTATTTTAATTATCTATATTCCATATTTTTATAAATGATAATTTGTAGGTATTAAAATTATTCTTGATATTGTACCAAACCATACAAGTGATCAACACGAATGGTTTGTTAAGTCTGTACAGAGTATAGAACCGTATACAGATTATTACGTATGGGCCGATGCAAAATATGTAAATGGGACCAGACAAGTGCCAAATAATTGGGTGAGGAAAACATTATAGAAAACTAAAAATTATTGTAACATTAAGTTTTTATTTTACAAATATTATGTCATAAAATAGCAAGTACGTTCTAGAATTTTTGAGCACTAGTACAATACTAGGTAAAATAAATACACGAAAACAAAATAAATTGCTTTATATAATAAACCATGTAATTTTTGTAAATATTTTACTTAGGAATCAGTATTTGGAGATAGTATGTGGGAATGGAATGAAACCAGGCAGAAGTATTATTTACATCAGTTTTTTAAGGAACAACCAGACTTAAATTTTTGGAATCCATTAGTCCGTGAAGAAATAAAAGTACGTAGAATTTAATGAGAAAATCGGTGAATCAATTTATTGATTTTTTTATGCTAGGACATGATGCGCTTCTGGTTAGATAAAGGTGTTGATGGATTTCGATTCGATGCAGTTGAACACCTTTATGAGAGACAGGATTTACTGGATTCACCTTTATTGGCCAATGGCCAGTTACAGACAGTTAATTATACACAAGAATTAGAAGAAGTTGTATATGAAGTATATGACTGGAGATCTTTATTAGATGAATACAAGAAAAAGGATGATCAAACAAGGTCCAAAACATAAAACCTGTATTATTTATACCCTAGATAAGTAGGAGATAGTAATTTAGATTTGTTTTAATAAATTCACAGATTCATGGTCACTGAAGTATATTCAGAATTGAAATATTCGATGAGATATTATGGAAATAAAACAAACCTTGGAGCCCATTTCCCTTATAATATATGTCTTCTGCAGCTGTTTCGTCGGCCTGCAAAAGAATATGTTGAGAAACTAACAGAATGGATGTCAAAATTGCCATCTGGAGCATGGTCAAGTTGGATTGTACGTAATAATAATATATAAGATATTCCTATAGATGCGAAATTTTATGAATACTTTAATGTATACTTTTTATAATATTTTACATTTCTTAGGGATTTTGATAAATTAAATAACAAAACTAGAGGGCAAGCGGGTCACTGTAATGTACTATGTGTTTATCTGTAATTCATTCATACACGATAAACGATTCTAAGCGAAGATATCCTGTCAGACTATATCACTGAATAAAATCTTTTCAGCTTGTGAACGCAATGATTCTGCACCCCCCCCCCCCCCCCCCCCATAAAAATGTCAATGCCCGAATAAAATATAATAATATACTTAAAAAGTTTCAAATACAGTGTACCTGCAATGTATAATAATATATTTTAAATGAATACAAAATAACTAAACCTTTGTAACCATAACTTTGTTTTAATATCCAATTTTGTCCTATTTTTAAGTTAAAATATCACGTTTAAGGGGGCTGGAGCAACCATTTAGCTCAATAAGCGAATGAAAATTAAACATACTTCCAGTAGCTCGATTTCAATTTTGAAAATTAAATTTAGTTTGTATTTTTCTTTTTTAAGTTTGCTCCGAAGTGGATTCTTATATTTTTCATTTCGTCGCTATCTACAACTAAGTCAAGTATAAGTTTATTTTGATAAAAATATAAACTTACTATGCATCAAATTATAGTCCCTAAAAATAAAGTCTTAAATCTATTGCCGAGCAAACCTAGAAAATAAACTAAAGACTACGCTAATCTTTTCAAAATGAATTAAAGTCGATCCAAACAAGGGGAATTTTTATTCCTCTTTTGACTTTTGGTACTGTTTACTGTAAGTATTTTCTTCGTGTTCATTGACTTGTGTATGCGCGTATGGGTGCTAAAACATTTCCAAGAATCTTAGTAGCCTAATATAAAAATATTAAATATTACCTGCATTCCGAACGATTATAGATCAATTAGAGCTAATGACTACGGAAATGAAATAATACTATAAAATATGTATAACAATACAAGTCGTAAAACATGTCGCAAAATATGCGACAGCTGATTACACACACTAATGTTCATTTACTTTTAACACATTGACACAGCCAAAATGTACATGTAATATTAAATTCCTAAACACGACTCCTTAATACATGGTATGCTTCAGCCCCCTTAAGTTACTATATTTTGTACAATATGTACCGTACTACTGTCTAATGTGTTATTCTTTTTTTGCCGAACAATTTCCAAATCAAGATCCACACAATTCAAATTAAGTCTCTAGTTGAGCTTGTTGTATTTATATTATATTTTATGTATATTTAGGTTACAATATCAACTACTAATTAAAAACCTTGTTTCATCCTTAGCTTGAAAAATTGAACATAATTTTTCAACAAGAAATTTTCTTGAGTTTGACAAGTGCCAACATTTAAATGTCAAATACTTGTTAAAAAAACTACAAAGTATAATAGCATAGACAGAAACTACTTTTGAGAAACCTTGTATTCAATTTTCAAGAAAAATTTTTATCTGCAGTTGTACAATTTAAACTTAAGAAAAGTCGAAAATTGAAAATAAATTACAAAAAGAATCAAGATATTTAGAAAATTGTATCATAATATATGAAATAGGATAGTTTAATATTTTTTTAAAAATAAATAATGAATAATTTTTTAAGTTATAACTAGCATAAAAAAAAACCTATTTAATCACTTCAACAACTGAATTTGCGTAAAAATATTTCATTAAATTGTGTTTGTTTTTCAGTTTTCTTGGTTGACTAATTACATGCAATTGAATACAAGTTATCACCCTATAAATGAATCAAAGTCTTGTTTTTATTAATTTTCATGTATACCTAGGTACAGATACAAAAACGATAAAAAAAAAATCATTGTAAAATAAACACATTCAACGTTCCAAATGCAAAAATAACTTTTTAATATAATATATATTTCTGGTTTAGATTGGAAATCATGATATTGATGAACGTGCAACCACGAGATTTGGATTGGAATTGATAGATGGTATTCATATGTTACAATTGCTCTTACCAGGAACACCCATTGTTTATATGGGTGATGAATTGGGAATGACAGATACATATTTGAGATATGATCAGATTTATGATGATAAGTCTAAATCAAGTGGTAGATATCGTGAAACAGTTCGTACACCATTTCAATGGGATTCCTCACCTCAAGCTGGATTTTCTAATAAAACAAAAACATGGTTACCGGTCAACCCTAATTATGTAACGCTAAACGTCAAGTTTGAGCAGAACGCTGGACGTAGTCACTTGAAGATATTCAAAGAAATTGTAAATCTGAGGCAGATGGAAATATTCCGAACGGGAGACGTACAATTTTACGAAATATCAGAATATGTATTTGCTTTTTCAAGGTATAAAATATATTGGATGGAAAATCATCATGTTCATATAATTGGTATAATTTTAATTTTAATTTTTAGAAGTAACAAATTTTTAAAAACCTACTTTGTTGTCATTAACCTTGGATCTGAATTAGAAAATATCAACCTCAACAAATTCAAGAAGAGACTATCTTCTAAGTTGACTGTGAAAATTTCTAGTTTGTTTGCCGAACAAAATAATGGGTTAGTATACTTTATATTTTACTTTGTAAGAAAATATTTTATTTGTCTGAAAATATCTTTTGATATTATAATTAGTAATTATCTAAATATTAATATAATAAATCGTTTATGAATTTGCAGAGACGTTGTTAGTGCTAAATCGTTTACTTTAAGACCTTCTGCGGCACTTGTTTTGGAGTCATCGTTTATTAATTTATGATTTTAAGATAATAAACAAATCGAATAACGATTTAGATTATGACATAGTGGAGATTAAAACTATAATATAATAGTTATGATGTCATTAAAATACATGATTAAATTTTCTTGTCAATTTTAATTAATAAATAATAGATATTTGTGAGACTAAATTTATTTTATGCTGATCTATACATAATATCCTTATCCGACAGCCATATATGTGGTATAATGTATGACTATTTGGGTAAAATGTGTTTTAAATTAAAAAATTACTATAATTATAGTTACATATAATCCAATGTCTTTTGAAAATGATAAAATCATGAGGTGTCGGAATTTCTAATATAAAATGATATATTAAATTAAAATTCAAGTATCTGATGTTATTAATAAATAATTCGGTTTATTGACAAATATTATTTTTAGTTAAAACCGGGTCAAATCATATGCCTACGGGCTACGGGCGTTTTGAGTCAGACTTTTAGTTTGAATATTATTATAAATTTAGACCAGTGTTTCGTCTCAACTTAGTACCAAATAACTGACTGTATTTGTAGTATGAAGTAGTATACTTTATTTTATGTTGAAATTTGGAGACAAACCTTGTTTAAGAAGTCAAAAATAATTTTTGTTAATACAACTTGAAATGACATATATTCGCTATTAGAAAAAATACAAAAATAATAAGTAAATGGTAAACTAATAGTTCAACACTGTTGTAACAATACAACATTGAGAATAGTAAATTTCCCATCAACAGTTCCATTTTGTGTTATTACTTACTTTTAATCTAAGAGTTTATACATAGATCAACAAACTAAAATGTAAGAATACATTATCTATGATCTACTGTTTACTTGTTATTTTTATGTAAAATATTAAAAATGCTCATAACTTGCATAAAAATTAAAATATTCCAAAAATAACACAAGCAACGGTCTTATAAATTTTAGTTTGATCATAGATAAATTCATTTTAAAATACAACGACACAAAATTGAAACTGAAGCTCAAATTTACTATGTAAAAAAACCCATGTGGATGGGACGTCTTCCTAATTACGAATATTATAAAAATCTATAAATATAAAAATGAATTGCTGTTCGTTTGTCTCGCTAGAACTCGAGAACGGCCCGACCGATTTGGCTCAAATTCTTTCTAAGGTGTTCTTTATTGCCTGGAGAAGATTGGAATGAAAGATAACTTTAGGAAAATCCACCGGAAAAGTAGAAAATTTGAATTTCAAAAAATACAATTTAGGCACCATCTGTCCAGAAAAAATTAATTAAATAATAAAAAAAATAGTTTCAGATTAAAATAATAATAGTGTATTGTATATTGATTGCTACTGGTTAATCGGGCATGTTATTGTTTTATTTTTATTTTTTACTCGAAAACGGCTGGTCCGATTTGGCTCAAATTATTTTTAAGATGTTCGTAATTGCTAGGAAAAGATTTATACGAAAGAAAATTTTAGGAAAATCAACCTGTAGGAAATCTGGATGAAAAAAATACAACAGTGACGCAACAGTGTATTATAATTTATATTGGTTGCTATTGGTTAATCGGGCATGTTTGTTTATTTGTATTTTGTTTTTTGTCAATATATATATATATATATATATATATATAAATGAACGTTTGTGTGTAGATTAGACCACTGGGAAGAAGACAGGCTAATTTAAAAATGGTTAATTTTGGTTTTTTTTTATTCATCTGATATTAGTACGGTAAGGATTTTGTATCAACTGATTATATTAATCCACCATAAGTGTAATACAACAAACTTGGAATAACTTTGATACTTTAGATTTAAATCATACACTTATGTTCAAACATCAATTAAATTTATACACTTTTTGGCCCAATAGATAAAACTTAATTGATAGAAAAAAAACTGAAAAAATTGAAAACTGAAAATGTCCGTAAACAGCTCAAAAAAATTCAAAATATTTTCAAAATTGTATGGTGTATGGGAAATGCTAATATAAACATTCAGTGAAATTTTCATGTGTCTACAGTTATTCCTTTTTGAATTACAACAAAAATAAGGAAATTGCTTCATGAGAAATCGAGGGAATATCCAATGTTGTAAAATTTTGAATTTCAAACGGTCAAAAAAATTTAATTTGACTTTCTTATAGACAATTTTTTTTTTGATTTATGTATAAAATCTTATAAGAAATCTTGTATTACCTTTTTAAAATCTGAGATTTAAAAAAAAAAGGTGGGTAAGTGGATGTCGCTCTGCTGTACAGTAGGTTACAAGTGGGTCACTGTATAATGGATGGTATTAAATTTGAATTTAATGATAAAATATCATTGTATAAGAAAAACGATTCTGAGCGAAGAAGGTATGTCAGTCTAGGTTTAAGATAATATATTATATACATATCTATAATGGTATTAAAAAAAAAATTGACCTATAATAAATTCCAAATTAATCATATCACAATATCCACTAGGTACTTATAACACGTTATACAATATACATCGATAACAAACCCTGATACTATCATTGATATATAATATAGTGTACTTTAGAAGTTTCAAGTACCCACGAATAGTATTATACACTCACAACAAAATAACTAAAATAGGTATGCTAGGTTTTTTAATATGTAATTTCGTCCCAAATTTGAACTTAAAATGTCTGTAAAAAATAACTGTGCTCATATATTTTTTAGATTTTTTGGCTACAGTATGAACTATTTATGAGAATCTTTTTTTTAAATTTTCAATCCTTAGCTATAAAAACTGAACATTTTAGAATTTATTAATTACGATGGTTAATAATTTTCGAGATTTTGAAAAATTCTGTCAAAATTCGATGTTTAAATGCTTATAAAAAAAAATTGTGCCTATGTATTTTTAATATTTTTCAACTGATATTGTAACACTATATCAGGAGCCTTGTATTAAATTTTTACACTTTTTGGCCCAACAGATAAAACTTTATTGATATTTATAGAAAAAAAAACTAAAAAAATTGAAAACTGAAAATGTCCATTAACAGCTCAAAAAGAGTCAAAATATTTTCAAAATTGTACGGTGTATAGGAAATGCTAATCTGAACATTCAGTGAAATTTTCATGTATCTATAGTTATTCGTTTTTGAATAACAACAAAATAAGAAAATCGCTACATGACAAATCGAGTGAATATCCAATGTTGTAAAAATTTGAATTTCAAACGCTCATAAAAATTTAATTTGACTTTCTTATAGAATTTTTTTTTTTGATAAATGTAGGAAATCTTATAAGGAATCTTGTATTACATTTTCATATCTTAGATTTAAAAAGAAAAATTTTTATGAATTTCTAACTCGAAATAATTTGCAAATTTTCGTGATTTTTCCATATTTTGAACTTTAAATGTTTAAAAAAAAAAACTGTGAACAACGATTTTTAATATTTTTCATCTGTCTTTGAAACAATATAGTAGGAGCCTTGTATTAAATTTTCAAGTATTTTTACTCAACAAATAAATTTTTATTGATATTCATAAAAAAAAAAGACTAATAAAATTGGAAACTGAAAATGTCCCTAAACAGTTCAAAATAAATCAAAATATTTTGAAAATGTTATCGTGTATAGAAAATGCAAATATAAACAACCACTGAAAATGTCATGTATCTACGGTTATTTGTTTTAAAGTTACACCAAAAACCAAAATCGAATTTTTGGAAAACCAATTTTGCGTAAAAATTCCTGTTTTTCCTTAATTTTTATGTTGTTTTTCCCGGCGCTCTTGAAAACTACTGGGAAATTTAAATTTTGACCTCCCCAATGCACCAACGATATTCACTTTCCAATCGAACAAGATACTGAAGTCGAAAATCGAAGCATTATTTCGACTACTTATCGTGTACACAGACACAAAAAAAATAAATAAAAAAATAAAAAAATAAATAAAAAAAAAAAAAATAAAAAAAAACACTCATCATTGTAAAATCAATACATTCATCGTTTCACTCAGAATCTAAAATTTTTACGAATTGATATTTTTAGAAAAAACTAAAAAAAAATGGAAAATAAAAATGTCCCTAAACAGTTCAAAATAAATCAAAATATTTTCAAAATGTTATCCTGTATAGAAAATGCATATATAAACAACCAGTGAAAATTTCATGTATCTATGATGGTTATTTGTTTTAAAGTTACACCAAAAACCAAATTCGATTTTGCGTAAAAATTCTCGTTTTCCCTAATTTTTATTTTGTTTTTCTTGGAGCTTTTGAAAATTACTGGGAACGATATTCACTTTCCAATCGAACAAGATACTGAAGTTGAAAATCGAAGCATTATTTCGACTACTTATCGTGTACACAGACACAAATAAATTAAAAAATTAAAAAAAAAAACACACATCATTGTAAAATCAATACATTCATCGTCCCACTCAGAATCTAAAATCTTATTAGGTACTTGAAATAGTAGAAGGCAACAGGAAGTAATAAATAAATAAATAATAAAATATTGAGCGACTTGACATGTTTCTCAAGAAATAGTTTAATTATTTTTGACCTGACACGTTTCTCACAAAATCATTCAACAGTTATTGAGTTGACTCTATTCGCACATCACCTTAACACAACAACAAGCCAACATATGTTAATAACAGTGTTACCCATCGATGCAGAGTAAAATTTCTTACAATTTTGATGTATAATATCAAAATGACCAAAAAGTGACTTGACACGTTTCTCACAACGTCCGTCCTTTTTTCAAATTATTATATGTACAATTGTTGGACAGCGGGGTCTTACCCGTTAATGCAACATACGCATGTGATTAACGTGGTGAGCGAACCCAAGGGTTTAACCTATTGTTACAATATCGGGAATGTATTATTGGTATTTTTTTAACAATGTCGGGGCAGGACCACCGTATTTCTCGTGCCCGTTCAAGTAAGTGCAGTCGTCGATAGCATACGAATGGTCCGGGAGCGAACACCTAAGCAGACACTCTGGGTGGGTCACGTTTCTTGGTGGCTCTGGAAAGAGCCGTTTCTCATTTAC